TATATGTATGTATATATATCTGTATCCACACACACACACTAATAATACTAAAACTACTTACCTATACAGGTGACACATTCGCTAAGATCAGCTTCGTGAAGGGAAACAGTTAGCTCCTTCCGCCACTCGATCAAATGTAATAGGCCGGGCCTCCACATTAGACTCTATGTTATAAACGTACTCTTATGCAGTACGTAAATTATAAACGTACTCTTAATAGTACGAGGAACTTGAGTTTCCTAAATGTATTCTTAATAGTACGAGGAACTTAAGTTTCCTAAAAGTACTCTTAATAGTACGAGGAACTTAAGTTTCCTAAATGTACTCTTTATGGCACGAGGAACTTAAGTTTCCTAAAATGGGGTTTAATGGTTTTATTTATTAATACCTTTTCCATTTTATATATCAGATATTTGGATGAGGCCATTAAAAGGCCTCAGTAAAATACCAAACATAAAGAGTGGGTATAGTTCTATTAATAAGAACTTTATTTACTTTCCAATTTTATTTATATCTGAATACTTCGGTAGCGAGATGGCTCAACCGAATATAGGTTTCTAGGGACTATTAACGTTACCTAGTTGATCCTAGATCAGCCAACCAGATGTGCCAGTATGATGAAGGCTAAGTCGGTAATTCTTGATAGTGGCAAGTTATTGGTTAAGACAATAACTAAGGACGTCAAGAGTATTTTTAAATTTTTTTCTTTTCTTCTAAAGATAGGATTTTATGAGTCTCTCGGATTCGCCCCAGAATAGAGCGACAACGAAACACTAAATAAAATCCCTTCGGCGGAAAAAATACTGAGAGGCATATATATAGGCAATGTCTCAGCCTCACAATCCCTCAGAGTATTGCTGTTTTCACGAGGCAAACCTAACTTTATTAAACGTCTCATTTCGTTTATTTATATCGATATTTACACGATACTTAGAATTTACCTACGCGTTTATTTATTCTAAGGCATTAGGGATAATATTATTTATTTCAAAGGAGTTAAGTTACAATGTTTGTACATATGGTATGGCTCTCATATCCGTTGTAGTGGTTCGGGGAAGATCAATGGGAAGAAGTGGTCAGTAAATTCCCTGTTGAAGCTTGGACCAAGTGAGTCGACAATGGAGGATACGCGCAGGGTCAATTCAGGCCGGTGCTGACAAAAAAACTGACACCATCGATTGTGTCACGTATCGCTTTCTGACTTACTAAATAGCGTACCCACCTCTATGGTTCGGACCGGGTCTTTATCGTGTAGTGCTGTGGAATGGGCTAGTGCAGAGTACGAAATGCCAAGTAGGACCAGGTTATCCGTCATAATTCGGTTAAGGAGCGAGGTTGGGGGTGATCCGATACCGCACCAGACCACGGATGCACTCGGTATGTGTTGGTTTGCCTGTATTGGAAGTATCATAGGCGGAACCAACAGGCGCGATGAATTGGTTTGGACCGAAATTTGGAAGTAGTACTTCAACAGCGTGATTAGTCGGGGTATAGGAAACATCTGTTGATATGTCAGAGACAGGTGTGGGTACAGGGGTTGTTCTACATGCCGGAGAAAAGATTCAAGGTGTTCGTGGAGGGTCCAGATACCATGGAAGTCGTGGCGCTTCTGTAGTTGCTGGAGGAAATCAGGGCCAATGAGAGGCAGTTTTGGGCCCACTAGGATGTATTGGATCAGTTGCTGGATGCAGGCAAAGTGGTTGGTGATGAATTTTTGGCCACCGGGGCAGGCAGGGCAGAGACAGCCGTCAGTGCGGTAGTCGAGAAATGTGAACATGTACGTATTTGTTACAATCATAGCACAGAACCGGATTGGTGTGGGCTCGAAGCAGCGGTTGAAGCTGTCGTGTCTGGCTTTGTCCCGATCTGAGGTTGGCGGTTTGCTCACGACCAATTGGTAGTAGTATTGACGCCGGGCCATTGCCGCGACCGCCTTGTTGGACCAGCGTTTCGTTGAATTTTTTCTAATGTCGTCACATCGTCGGCGGAGGGCTACATGTTCTGGTGTACGCCCGTCCTTAGTTTTGTATACAGTCTTCAAGTTGGCATAAATACTGTATGGGAAGCGCAGTGAGGGGTTGTCGTGGGCCCAGGCGGGTTGCGTCAGAGGTGTGAGTGGGTTTGTGCTGGCCATTGAGTCGAGTTGCAGTCCCAGGCAACCCCCGAGGTAGTCCGCGAATGCTCGCGTGGGGAGCAGGCCACAAAAATGGAGTAAGTTGGTTTGATGTTTGGAAAACCTAGGGTATTTGGTGCCCGTGATGATGGCTGCTGCTCGAATGAGTGCTGAGTTATAGCGCTCAAACAAGGGGTCCAGCGCATCCTTCCATATTGGTGGAGCCCAGGCAACAATATTCAGGCCATATATAGCCGTGGATAAGATGAATGTTTTGAACAACACCAGCCTGTTGCGGGGGTGTCGCCAGCTGAAGCCATGGAAACCATAAGCGCGGAAGGAGGCGATACCCAGAGACAATGCTGTAACCAGGGATTCCATATGTCTGGCGAGATTTATCCCTGGTATTCCGTAGGAGAGTGGGAAAACCCAGGAATTTGGAGAGTTTAGGCTTGGCATGTGTGGGAGCCAACTTCAGGGGTAGGTGACATGTGTTCCAAGGAGCATCTGCAAGCGTTGGCGTGATAAGCTCACTATTTATACGGAGGGTTGGCGCCGCGTGTCGCAAGTTGGTAGATCGTACTCGGGGTTTGATGACACCCTGATTGAGGCCAGATTTGCGTCCCCACGCATCAATGTCGTCTAAAACGGGTTGGAGCGGAACCGGTTGGGGGGCTTGGATCCGGGTGTCATCGACAAATAAATAGAAGCGGAGGAGCTTGGGCCGGAATTGTGCTAGCGTGACAGCCAAAGAATCCATGTAGATAATAAAGAGCTGGGGGCCGTGATTGAGCCTTGTAGGATGCCATTCGTTCTATGGAACTATCGTCTTTATTAGACCGAATCTTACACATTTTAAAGTTAGCAAAGGTATTAATTACTTAGACTACTTAAGCGTAAGGGTAGATTAACTACCACAACAATGTTTTTCTCTTGTCCAAGCTAGTCGTTAAGAGACAAGCTAGTAGTCATAAATTAAGATTATGACCAAGAAAGACAATATTCCTTCTAAGAAGCGTAGAGCTGACAAGAAGAAGATGGAGAGAGAAGCCGCTAGCGCTGCCGCAGAAGCAACCGCTGCCGCTGCTGACGCGTTAAATCGAACTGTAGCCGAAGTACTTGCCTCTGACAATAATAGTCAAAAGGGCAAAGCTTCAGATAAGGATGTAGCCACTCCGCTTAAGAAGACTACTCCCACTGATAGAGCCCGAGGGCCAACTATTGCCTCAACTTCAAAGCTCGCATTTACGAAGCCAAGAAGTGAGACAAGGGACACGTCTCAAGACGCCCCAACCCATTCTTCTGACGAAACTCAGAAATGAAAGTCCCCAATTATAAGGGCGTCCCCAATTATAGGGGACAAGGACAAATCTCAGAAGGAACCTATTATGGAATCAGAAGAGAAGGCAAGCTCAAGTGGCAAACCCGAATTTACGTCCGAGACTACAAGCCAACGCGAATAGGTAAGCCAATTACTGAAAACGCTGATCTTAAGAATCAGTTAGCTACCCATATGAAAGACTTGACTGTCGAACATGTAGATCAATTAAATAGATCAGGAAAACATCCACAGCACTTACGCGAGCATGTTTCCCCGGGCATTACTGAAGCCCTACAGAAGTGGACAGAACGTCGACAGGCAGTTACGCCCAAAGACTCGAGCTCTACGCCTGAGGCATATGATCCAGATGTACTCAGCGACGCTATACCTTACGAGGGACTACTGCCAGAAGTTCAGGCTAATTACTCGCCTGTTCTGACACCCGGCCGTGAGTCACCCGTCCTCGAGGGTATCATAAACCCAGAGGTAAGGAGATATACTCCGCCACTTGTACCCAATTGGGATGATAATCGTCGGAAACCAGTTAAGACTGGCTATTTTATTCCGACGCATGGATCACCCAAGGTTATAATACCAACCGCTATCCGTGGAATAGAGCACCGAAAGGCCTCTACCATGGATTTTACAAGGGGTAACCCCGTAGACGTGTGAACGATGTCGAGTTTAATCGATTCGATCGCACAGCCTTACACCAACCCGCAGAGGATTTCCACTCTGACGAGGTTAAATCGGTCGACGATTATACCAATACAGTGGAATTTGCCCATGCTGCGCATCATGCTGAGGACGTAGCATACTATGCAAATATGATTGCGATTAAGCAAAAGCGCATAGATCAGTTACTTCAGGCCCGAGGTGGACAAGACCACAGGATAACCAGAAGTACAAGGGACAGATCAGTCGACTTAAGTCGAACTGGGATGCCAACAGCAAGCAGGTCGAGTTTATAAACAACCATGACCTCGACACGCTAACTCGTACGCTTAATGCGTTTACGGTCATGCTGGAGACGGATGATATCGCTCCCCAGCAATGGATCTCTGCCTTAATG